CGTCAATCTAACCAATTTTTAAACATTCTTAAACAGTTGGCTAAGGAAATTTAAATTAAATAAGAAATAAACTTCCCACCACAGACATATTATCCAAACAATTTCAATCAAATATTTGTTGATTATGTATTGCATAAATATAATACGAGGCACAAATTGTTTGCTTACAATCCTGAATTGCAAGAAAGAAAAATCAAATTATTTTTAAAATTAAGCAGGACAAAAAATGAAATCTGGAAATAAAATGCTTTTAACGAACAATTTTTTATAAAAACCTTTCATTTTTTTTACAATTGATCAAGTTATATTAAATAAATTATAAAAGATTATATAGCTACTAATGTATAGACATACCATATTCATGCCATAAATTTTATTCATGTCATAAATTAATTTAATAATTAGACTCTTAGCAAACAGCCGGTTGGCAATGCACCAAGCTAATTGGAAAAATTTTGCAGTAAAAATCAGCCTGATACTTAATAGGTTTCTTGCATCTCACATATCTTTAGGCTAATTAAAGAAAGCATCATTTACAACTCAAATAACCTGGTTTATATCAGGCAATTTTCAATAAGCTCAGAAGAATAAAGACTTATTGTAAATATCCTTCAAGTTATATCGAATAAGCAGCTTGACCAAATTCAGTCTTAGTAACTCTTCCCGTTTTCTAATTAGCCTGAAAACATATACATTGATTGTAATAAGCCTCAAAGAATCTGACGAAAAAACTTTAAGAGACTTTTCCAATTACTGTGATGCTTTGCAACATATTACATTAGATCGGGGTGACTTTAGCAAAAAAAAAATTATTTTTTTTAAATTAGCTTACTTCTCAAACATCATACATAATCCCCCTTCTATATATTGCATTACTTCTTAATACTTACTTTTTAAATGGAGCCTTCTGGGCCATTGCGGTTCTTTTATTTAGTGGGGGAAAACGTAGTTGAAACACTTTAATGAATATGTTTACTAATTGTCACTTAATAATCTTAAGTTTTTTTTCTAAATTTGTATTTATTTATTTTAAGTTCACTTCACTCGTAATACTAACAAACTAAAGTCCGATATTGCTAAATTAAATATTGCTTAATTCCCTAAATTAAGAAAATGAGTCTATTGCTATTTTAAAATAAAATATTTTAAAGCATTTCGATGAGTTTCTATCAGTTAATAGTTTTAAAATATGTGAGTTCCTATACATTGTAAAATGTACAGAAGCGAAGGAAAAAGAAATATGAATAATAAAAAATTAGTTTTTGTTTCTCGGTGAATAGAGAGAAAAATTAAGAGACTACAATAAAAACAAATAAGAAATCTAAAGGAAAAAAAATTGATAACTTGACTATTGATCGAAAATTATGATATGAAAATTATTTGATCAACACACAATTTTATATTTCTCCTCCCACAGACTGAAAAAAAATTTCAGCATCATAAATCTACTTTCAGTTTCAAAAAAATACAAAGATTTTGTTTTAAAAACTAAGGATGCTTGGGAACATGGGAACCATACAAACTATGGCTGCAATCAATACCAGAAATAGAACAGGTTAGTTACTACCCCTCCCTCCTTTTCTTAACTACCCTACGTAAGTTGATTTATTACCTGCGATACCAGGAATCGCAGTACAAAGGGGGTCTACTTAGAGTGAAAGAAGAAAAAAAAGAAAAAATTAGTCTTGCGGTCGCTTTATAGGATTAAGCCATGTCAAAAATGAAGGTACACAGAAAAAAAAAAAAAACTAACCTGTTAGGGGAAAAGAAAAATACAGAAACATAAGAAAATTTACTTTACCATCGCTAACATTCCTTTATCAAATTTAAGCTAAATTTCTCTGGTTTAAATTTAGCTAAAAGAGAAGTGTTGAAATAGTAGACTTCTCTACAATTTAAATTAATCCCATTTATTTACATTACCTAAAATTTTTACTTAATTTGTTAAAGAAATGCTTCTTAATTGGAGATCTACACTTGCAAACTGGAAGATAGGTGTAAAACTGTAAATCACGGACGGCGACATTGTTAATAATGAGCAACTAGTTGTAAATTAAAGAAAACTCTTAAAAATTATGTTAATAATTGTTGGCTGAATTGAAAATCACATAGGCTAAGTGTTCAATTTTAGTGATTTTATTTCGGATCTATTAAATGGTTTATACACAAATTAAATATTTAAATTATTCAATTCAAATAACTATCTCAAACTAAAAATATATATTTTACGAGAAGTGTTTTTTTTTTTTCTTCCCTAGATTAATATATGGTATTTAAAACTTGGCACTCTTGCAACAGATATTTTCCTTTGTCGAATATACGATACGATTTAATCTAGAACGGCGTTTTAAAAAATTAACATATTAAAGATTAAAGTTTCAAACTAGATTAGTTCAACTTTTTGGTATATGAAGATGATTTATTATGAATGCTTCAAATATGGGTGATTTTTTTAAAATTAACAATCACTTTTTAATATGATACTAGACCTGACTTATGTAATAGCATCCCAATTTATATGTGACAATTAGCACAAAACTACTAGAAATTTTTATAAATAAAATAGCATTATATTAGTCTAAACCGTTATACTATACAATTTATAAAAATAATCTTTAATAAGGCTAAAAGGTTTTGCAAAATATTACTGCTCTTTAAAGTGATAAAAAAAAAGTAAGAGCATAGTTACCATCTTGATATTTTAATCAGCCCCCAAGATAAAAAATATTTGAATGACAGAGAATAAACAATCATTTCACCATAATAAAAAAAAAGGCAAATATCTTAAAACAATATTATTTAATTTTAAATTTTTAACAAATCTTAGTGGTCATGATACATACACTATCTGCCTTTTGATCCTATAAATGTGTCCTCATGATACATACACTATCTGCCCTTTGATCCTATAAATGTGTCCTCTTTGCCCCTATTGTAAAAATAAGCTGCCATCCCTTATAAGCACTGCCTTTTTAATTGAGTATGTTCAACTCGCCCAAGGTATATTTCATTTAAAAAATAAATAAATAACTCACTGTTTAAATAATAACACACTGATAAAATTACCTTTGCTTATAGGTTAAATTTTGATTACTATTACGAATACTTACTTTGTTAGGGTTATTCTCAACTGATTTATTTATTCTTTTTATTTTTCCCTTTTTTTTTTCAGGGGGTATATTCATTAAACATTATATGTCAGTGAGTATATTCATTTTTACATGCACCTTTAAACATTCATTTTTTTATAATTTTCAATTTAATTTATCGAAAAAAAATGATTTAGGTGTTTATCAATTAAACATTATATTAGTTAAAACAAAACATTTTATTAGTTTACATTTTTAAAAAAAAATTTATGCTCTGAGTTAGTCTTTTAGCATGCCCTTAATTATTTTTAAAAAATTATTCATTTGCTCTTGTTTTGATAATGTGTGAGAACTGCATTTTGAAATAGTATATTCATAAAATTCTATAAGAGGGTAATTTAAAAATTGTTGAGGATGAAATTCAGTTATAACATAATATTACACGATTTGAAATTTTCTTAAGGTGTTAAGTGAGTGCCCTTTCAAAACTTTAAGTTCCCTTTTCTGTGAGAAAGCATCCTGCCCTTTTTTACTCCTAGGGATAATTCTGCTACATCTACCCCTTTAACTTTTAAGGAAAATCGCCCTTAGAAAGTTAAGGAATTTGACAATTCTGATAGAGAAATAGTTACTTTGTACATGTAAACACATCTTTTTATATAAATACTTATAACAGAAGGTATTTTAGTTGCAGAGATAATAACTAAACTAAGTTTCAATTAAAATATTTCTATCTTATCTAACACATTATGTAGCTATGACCAGATAATAAAAAAAGCCTTGAAGGAAGCTTACTTAAACAACCTTCGCCTGTTGTAAGCTGTAGTGCATTTAAAGAGGAAGATGTACATTAAACATTATAAATTAATCTTTTTCATCTCACCGGAAGTCAAGATTCGACATTTAATTGTTGTTTTCTTACCATAGATGCTGTGAAGATAGGGAGGGGGACTAAGTGATATTAATATAATAGATTTCCAACACTACAACTGTAAATTAAGTTCAAATTATGTTTCAATTTTACGTTTTCTTATTTGCATATGTCATTAATTAATTATTTGTCATTATTGTTAACAGTGTCGAGCGCTATAATTTTTACTTTAACCGTTAAAGAGACACTTCAGTAAAAATTTAACATGATACACAAAATATCCTAAATTATTCTTTCCATCAATTGATATTTGTGTTGTATTGATTTATTGATTCAAATATATAAAAAACTAGTTTAATGAAGTTGAGATAGAGAAACTATTTTAATCAACTATTGATAGAAAATATTTCTTAACTATTAAAATTCACCATCAAAATTTTCAACAAATAAATCAATATTTTCCACTAATATATAGATTACAGCTTAGACAAAGATAGGGGGTGGGGGAGGAAATTCGTCAATTTCTTTAATAAGAAATTTTCTAGACGATACATTTCGAACCATAAGTCAGCCAATTTTATTGTATTATTAACTGTACGATATTGTACTGTACTATTGTATTATTATTATTAACTGTACTGTTTAATTGCACAAACATTTCAATTTTTAAAGTGCAAAATAATTTATATCGATAATTTTTTACGGCAGAGGAAAAACTACTTCAAGTTAGCATGTAAGGTGGCAGGATAAACGTTCTATAAAACCATTTTTGAAATTAAGAAATTTTTCTTCAGATTGCCTAAGAAAAACAACATATATCCCCATTATATTCAACATTACTTCCGATTATAAATAGAATTTAAAATAGAAAAAATATTCAAATAGAAGAAATATTAAAATTCATGCTATTTAAACAAATTATGCGAGTTTATTTTATTATTATGCGAGCGCCATAACCTGACGCTGGTCATATAGTTCCATAAATTGTATTTCTTAAATCCATATAATTTGCAATAATTTAAATAGAAGAAATAACTCACCGAAAAACCATTTTAATTCTCGCTCCAAGCCAAGAAAACTTTTCCCCTATACTTCCACGCAGCCGCAAATCACTGGTTGTCTGTGATTCCTGGGCTCCAAGAGATAACACAAATTATTTATTTTCCCAGACGAGTGATATTGTCACGTGGTGAAAACAAACTCCAAACGATTTGGAACTTCACGAACACAAGGAACCGAACGCAAGCACAATATTTCAGCGACCGCGAATATCCAAAATGGTAGTCCGTACAAAAAATAGCAAATTTTTAAATAACATTTCGCGAAAAACGTCTACAAAAAAGAAAAGCGTACACACAAAAACAAGTCCGAGAAGTTTCGAAACACAGGTACGGAATCCTGGGAAAACTTGGAAGTAACTACACTGCTTATTCTCTTGTCAGGTGGCAACGGACCTTCGAGTAAGGGTTGCCGAGAATTTTGAAGATGAGAAAAATATCTTCGCCAAGTCTTATCGCCAATGATGCTGTAGTTGTTAAGTCATTTTTACCTACAAGTCTCACTGTGAGATGAATTTTAAATAGGCTATTATGGGACGTAATGATATAAAATAACTTCCAAATCTAATGAGAACGCACTGTCGCTTTCTTTAACGTATTGCTGTTCAATTACTAATATTTTAATGTCATATTAAACATATAATGATGTCTTTTAAGTGCATAAATGACTAATAATGATTTTCGTAATTAATCAATGTAGGGCATGTCATTTTTATTAAGTTCCCCATAATATACTTCTACATTTTATCATTAATAGAAAAATAGTACTATTTATAACTTGATTTCGTATAATAACGCTTGCAATATTTTATAAGAATGAAATAATTATACAATATTATGAGCGAAAACGAACTTGCTACAAGTTTAAAATCTAGCCTTATAATCAATACAACTATACTATTTATTAATTTATGCTTTAACGTATTCGTAAATACCCAAAAATATTTGCAAATGAATATGTTTGGATTTGAAAATTAATGTAATAAATTTACATCGTCAAAATGGATATAAAATGTTTACAAATGCTATAAATTATAAAATGTCTAGTAGCTATGTGAAATTCGTAAAAATTTCTTTCCATTTTTTTCCCATTAGTTTCTAAAAGACTGAAACACATCTAACATAATCATGAAAACTGCAAGATATTGACAATTAAACTATAAACAACTTTGGTTTAAAGATAAATTTCCTACTTTCACTGTTGAAACAAAATTATTCGAAATTCATAAATTACTTATCACAGGGGTGTCAAACTCAAAAGCTAACTTGGGCCAAATAAACAATGCTTAACTTTAGATGGGCCGCAAAAAAAAGAAAAATCAATGTTCATAGAAACAGATATTTTTATTTCGAATAGTACGTTGTAATAAACATACATAAAGTTAAATTATTGTTTGATACTTGACATCTCTTCTCTGCTACTATCTTTCCTATTTCGGGAGAAATTTTATTGGCCGAGACTACTTTCAAAATTGACCCAACGTGAGCGTTATTAATACGGTTTCGGACAGGAGATTTATTTCCATTCATAACAGAAAATAATTGCTCGCACTGATAAGTACTTCCAAACATGGAAATAATTTCTTATGCCAATTTTCGAGTATTTTCAAACCTTGCCGGTAAATATTTGTTAAATTCAGGCACACCAACTTCAGTGAATTTTGCGTTCAAATTTGAGTCGCACTGAATCTCAATCACTTCCATTTGCATATTACTGGGTACTGAGTTTATATTTATTGAGAAAATCGAAGAAAACAAACAAAATTTGTCTTCCAAAGAATTAAAATCTTTAAATCTTGTTTCAAATTCTGTTCTAAGATTTGAAATTTTTTCTGCGTATTTTTGATGCGATGCAGTATCCCTGGAATGGCAGGTACCGCAAGCCATTTAGAATCTTACATTTTCGCGTGTACAATTTAAAGTGATCCGTATAGTTTATAATTAAAGTATATTATGATTTTATATGCTTTCTAATTCACATTTCTATTTTATTTTTACTTTGCGTCGGATCTATTGACTGGGCCGCAGAAATGTTCATCTCGGGCCGCCAGTTTGACACCCCTGACTTATCAGGTTTATATCTATTTCAGCTTATTAATGCTTAATCTTTGTTCCTTATCCCCTATTTTAGGATATTCGTTTTACAGAAAAAGATGAAAACGGGAATATTGTTTATCAGGATTCTTTTGCTAGTAGAAACTTTTCTAACTTCATCCCACATTAACGACACAAATTTAAGCATTTAAAGGACTGTAATGACCTTCTACCTGCATTTATATTGGAAAAATATACACATAAGATCATCTAAATAAAGGGGTTGATCAAAATGACGAAAACACTTCTATACTAACTCTTTGTTCGATTCATATTTTCTTTTAACAGCAAATCGCTTGGGAGGTTTTGCATGGCAAAACTGATATCCAAATTGGAAAGATCATGCTTGAAGCTTTTAGAAATGGTGTCCTTTTATCTGTGCAAAATTTGCATGGACCAAAATGAACGTAGAAAGTTAAAAGTATACTTTTCCCTTTTCTACAAAAAGTATTCTTAGAAAAATATTATAATCCTACAGAATAATTTCAAAATTGCTAGTATTAAGACCAGAAAGAAATTATTAACTTTCTCTCCTCGCTTTTTATAACCATCATTGAACAGTGAACCCAATTTTGAGTTTGTGACTGTCTATGTTCAACTCCGTAGCCTTGTGATTTTGAACCCAATCCAGAACACAAGAGAATTCCTGGATCAAGTATTGGGAGAAATTCGCCTTAATGGAGGACATTTTGTTGGCACTAATCCGCATTTGCGTTACATGGAGAGGAAAACCACAAAAACCTCCCATGGTTAGCCTGACGGCAAGGGGACTCAAATCCGTGTACCATTGAGGATATTTTACGTTATCTCTGAAGTGGGTGCTAGCCGGGTTGCGAAGTTCATATTCCGGGGCCAGACATCGCTTCGATTCGAACCCGCATGAGTAAAAATTGCATTATTTCTAAAAACTTGAAGCATTATCTTTTAAATTATTCCACAGTTTGACACGTGAAATCTTCCAAAACATTCTCTACCTTAAAAGAAAATTGTTTGCATTGAGTTAATATATAGGTATCTATATTGTTTTGATCAACCCTAGTATACTAATAACTGGGCCGAGACAGCCTGGTTGGTAGGGCGTTGTGCCCATGTCCAAGAAGTCACGAATTCGATCACCACCGGCCGAAGATGCTCGTGTAGTAAATGATGACTGAAGAACGTTAAATCCGTCGGGTTACAAATGTTCCCACGACACATTATACCTCTAGGAGTACTGGATTGGAGATTGATCGTTTTCTGGTTCATGTCAAAATTACGATCTGTGGATGAATAAATGATTGAATGTATTTATGAGTGCTCCCTATAAACGGGCTGTGACGTGTGTGTGGCTGAAGTCGTATTCTTGGCCATAGATAGCGCTACTGAAAAACAAGAAATGCATATTCAGTTGTTTTCACCAATCAGGCTTGCTGATATTGGCATATAGCATTAGAAACAGCAACAACATATTCTAATACAAATCTAAGTTACATATATATTGCTATGAAAACACGCAACAGTGACTTTCAAAATAAATAAGTGAAACGTGTTTTTATTAGCTCTCAAATGTGCAATGATCTTAATTTCAATCCTCCTGTGGCTAGCACCCTTTCGACAGGACGGCTTCTTTTTTTCAATAAGTTAAATATGGTAACACAAGAGTTTCATTATTTGCATACTTTTTGCTGAAACAGGAGTGTTCAATCTGCAATAATATACTGATAATAATCATGTTTATATTTAAATCCCTTATTGCCTTTTCAAAGCTAAAGAAATAAGTGACGAAAAGAAATATTTACTTGGTTTAGAATTATACAGGGTGTTCTGTAAAGAACACTCTCAGTTACGTATTATTAGAATCCTTATCATAAAAGAAAACAAAAAAAGTATGCATATTCGGGTTCGCAAATAAATATTTAACTCGGGAAAAATAAAAACGTTGCCTTAATCTGACAAATCACAGTACAGAGAGGCCAATGTAATAAACAACTTCAAATTTCAACCTCCAATTAGGACTGTTCATGTTCATTACATTCGCCTTCATTTCTTCATCTTTCCTCACTTAAATATGAACTTGCGACTCTTGATGTGCATACTTTTTTGTCTTCATTTTTGATAAAAACTCCTAAAAATATATATTAAGGGCGATCTTTATGGAACACCCTGTATTTACCATTACTTTTTTTATTGTTTATGTTTACAACATTGTAATAGGTTATGATTAAAGGATTAAGCACAAAATCGAAGGTCACGCTAATAATTATTAACAAGTTAATTGTTAGTAGTAGGGCATCAAAAGATTAAGGTAAATGTACTATAACTATAATCGCTGAAACTCACTTTCCCTTACAGGAAATTTTATAAAATATTAATATATTGTAATCTATAATACTGCATGGATGTAAAAAAAGAAAAAAGAAAAAAAGAAAGAAAAAAAAAGAATGATTGAAAATATCCTTTTTCATTCCTAATTTTATTCCAATGTAATTTCTTTATCCACCTGTAGTAATTAGCCTATTTTTGAAACAGGAAAAAGGTGAAGGCATTCAAGCCTCCATAATTAACAAGTTCATTTTAAACATTGTATAAAATTGTTTATAATTGTGTAGTTAGTAACTAATGATACGTACGAATGAGTACGTATTTAGCAACTAATGAATGAGTTTTTAACTATTTTTAAGCAATTTTCTATTAATGTAAGATTGCATCGTGATATGGCGTTATACGCCATATCACGATAGTGGTATATACTTAGTATTTAAATATAGTTAATTGCGTAATTTCTGGGTTTCAAACATTGCACTTTAAAATGAAAGTTTATAAAAAGCAAACTTCGACTTCTTTTTACAATATTGAAATCATTTTCTTTATTATTTTTGAGAACAATGAGCTGAATTGCCCTATTTTTTTCGTGAAAATGTAAATTGTAGTTTTATGTAACTAAAAAGCGGCTTTTAAATCTGTATTTTTTTCCTTAGTTAAACATTTCTTTGGAATAACAACTTATCCGGAAAAAAATTCCTTAAAAAACTAAATTTATAAAATTTCGAAATTTATTAAATATTTATTTTAAAATTTATTAAATATTTTTTATTTAGTTAATTAATTATTATTAAATATTGTAGTAGTTGTTTTCATTTTAGTAATTACATCTTCAAATTTCCCAAGTAATAAAGATTAAAAAAAAATAAATAATCCATATATTATCACGATTTTCAAATATTATTTTCTCAAGAGCAACTAAAAATGCTAAGCATTTTTAATACGTCGCCAAAACTTAACAACCTAATTAAATAATAGTCTGGCATACCA